CTGGTTAGCTAACAAGTGGAATATATGTGGTGTTGTGTTAGCTAAGAATTTGCTTCTTACCTAACTTCCACATGTAGCAATATGGATCCCGAAATATACTAAATAATTGACTCTGTACATGATTATTGCACTTGTCAGAAAACTCAAGACTATTGGATATTCGAGATGTCAGATTTGTGTTACAGCCTGTCCCTAAACGAACCGAAATGTTGAGCATTATTTGAGTGCATTACGGCTACTTGGACGAAGCCTACTTATCCTCTAGACGCTGATCAGTTTCTGGGTTTGAAGCAATTTAAGAACTCGCAGGATTTGCTTGTGACCAAAGCGAGGAAGCACCCACTACGAATTGTGTTTAATAGCAGCACTGCGGACGAACACTCGCTTTTATAAGATATATATATATATATGTAATTTTGCTGGCAACAGTAAATTGAAGCAAGAGGGAAAGAAATTCATCCATTAGCAAACACCGGAGGCTGTCGGGCTCCACATAAGCAGGTGTAACCGCACCATGCAGGAACATCAACAATGTTGTTGATTTACATTCTTGCATTACAATGTACCNTGTGTCTTGTGAAATAAATTGGAAGATTACGTGGTACATTTCTAGGGCATGTCTTGTTACGTTTCGGAGGCATAATTGACGTAGATCGTACGCAGTGTTTCTGANTGGATCTGGATACGGATTGGCTGAATGCAAATGAGAGAAACACCCAAATTTTAGGTTCAGCCAATCAGCAAAATTTCAGAGGAGAGGAATCCAGGCGTTCCCGGAACCGTCGGGACGTCTGCCTCTCCAGAGCAGTCAGTCATTAGCAGTCATCAGAAGGAAATAGCGGGAGTGAGTCATTACAAGGCAATAAGAGCAGTCTTTACAAGGGAATAAGAGCGGTTAGTCATGGATTGTGAGTAACCGGAGTGAGTTGCCAATGGTAGTAACAGTAGTAACCTCCCGGACGTTAAATTGGTGTACAAAGTCCAAGTGCTAGGGCCTCGTAATGTGTGACTCTAGTGAACACTAACAATAAAAGCAACAGTGTTGGTGAAGTGCGAGTTTTTTTCAGTGTTCTCTCTCTCCTTGTGTGAGCAAGGCCCAGAAGTCGCCCTGAGACAGAATCTCGTCCTACCTTCTGAGCAGTCGGAACCCTAAACGCCCGCCTATCCACATCCCCACCTTTTTTTTCCCCCGTTCCAAACTAGTGGACTTCACCCAAGTCCACTGGCGCCCATAAAAATTCAAGTATTCAGAGCAATCCCACACCCTACTCTGAATCAGACAGCTACAAGGAAGCGGCGGATGAAACTGCAGAGCACAAAGGTGCTAACGTGAAGGGCAGGTATAAGTGACGACCAACTCGTGAGGCTTGAAGTCTCACTGAGCGGTAAGGACGACGAAGAGGAGGGCGGTAAGACAGGTACTCCCAAATATTGAACCTCCCTTATACCGAAATTTATTGCGTTGCTTAGAAATTATGAGCGGAATTTGGGAAATGCCTTTATGAAATTTAACGCTTGTTATTTCTTCTGTGTCTTGTGAAATAAATTGGAAGATTACGTGGTACATTTCTAGGGCATGTCTTGTCACGTTTCGGAGGTATAATTGACTTAGATAGTACGCAGTGTTTCTAAATTTATTTTTGAAAACCTGTATGTATATATTATGCCTCAGATAATGTACACCTCCCAACATAACATTGGTATAAATAATTGTAAGCTACGTGTTTTGAACACCAAATACTATTATGCTCTAAATGTACCCACTACAGGCTATAGAACGGAGGATTCTATTGGCAGTCATACAAGATTGTACGAGCAGCCGATTATCTTCAGATCATGAACGCATCTGGTTTTCTGTGTAAACAAGAAAATGTTACTTGCTCATACAGACGGACATGTAACATTTCACACTGGGTGTCGCTAGTTCACAGTAATAAATGCCTAAATCTAGGAGTAAATTGTTTTCCACAGGCTAACATTTAAAGATATTCTAAGACAGATGAAATGATTGGAGACTAACAACCAGCACATCGCTTTCATGTTACGCAACATAAACTTTATGTTCAACATTCACATGCATTCGTCAATCATTTCATAGGGTGTACCCTAGATATATACTCATATCTTCAAAAATTCACTGATTCAACAAACATAAATGCGATTAATAATAATTAAATAATATCTAAACCATATTCCTCTTTTTAAATTAATTTGAATTTGACAAAGTCCAAAACATCAGCTTCTTTAATATCAATCAAATTCGAGTTTGAGATAAAACATGCAAGCGCTTATTTGATTCTGTTTCACAGTTTGTTGATTTCGTATTCCACACATGACATAGAAATTTGTTAAGTATTTCTTGCATTTCTGTATAAAACTGTACTTCTGAAATGTAGCCAGGATACAGAAGTGAATCTCCCCCAACACAGATAAAGGTCCAGAACTTTACAGACATTATGCTACCTTTTTCTTCCTTCCACACAAACACTTGAGAGTATTACACACGACAAACACAAAAGTTGCGCCTGTATTTTTTGCGCTGCTCAGACAGATACAAATTCTAGTATTGTTCAAACCGTAATGTGTTCAGTATAAGCTTACAGATAAACCGTACAATATTCAGCACATTACAGTACAATTCTAGACACATTGCATTACATTTCCAATAACTGCAGACTCCAGGTAATGAAGTATTTTCTATTGCAAATATAAGTGCCCATAAGGAGATCAAATGAAATTGTCCTAAGCAACTCAATGATCGAAAGATATTTAATTACGCCAACTATCTACCTACAACCTTTTGAACTTAATTGCCATCTGAATATTAAGAAATTCAGTTTCTACGTCTCAGAAATCACAGTGACCTTCCACTACAAGTATCGATTGTCTAATCCTATAGAAAGAAATGACAGCTGCTGATTGCGAGAATCCTTATACAACCATAAATACACTGTTGGCAAATGCTGAGCATATTAAAGTCAAAACGTATGGAACATGTAGCAACCAAAGTATTCCAATAGTTGAATCTTTTCCTGCACTTGATTAAGCGCCATGCCACAGACATATGGGGAGCGGAAGTATCGTTCCATATATTCTCAACTTTTGAATTGGCGTCGAGAGGCCAGCTTCAATTCCCGGCAGCTATATCCCAGGGAACAGGACCCTCGGCACGGAATGGGGAGGAGACCGGGTGAGTTCCAGCGCATGTGCTACGGAGAAGAGATGCATTTCTGACCCTGTGAATCAAACCCAATTCCTTGTTCCTCCAGCCCATATTCTGTTCGCTCTGCCGACTGAGCTAATCGGGTCCTAAACTTAAGGTCTCATAAATTGTAAGCGTGGGTTCGAATCCCACTTCTGACAAAATATGACGTGTAAGGGTGACTATAGACTGGGTTTCGATTTGTGAATGGATATATTGACCAATTCTACACACCAATCGGAACTACAAGCAATTACAGCGCAACCTCTATCTCCGCACTTCACAAATGACAGTCAGCACACGCTAATTGTTTTCCAGCCGTTCTCTGGCAACGACTTCTGACAGCAGAAATTCTTTAGAATCACGCGTTACATAGCTTCCTGTGCAGAACTTTCTCTCTACTGTACTGATAGCTCCATCTGTCCTGTTTAGATTTTCTCGGCACGGACCACATAAAGAACAACCTTCTTCTATTGTTGTTTTCGTATTCCTTGCAGCGGGAACATGATTACCGAGCCGTTGCCTAGAAATGATCACCGTTTATTACCTTTATACATAGCAAAGGCTGTACGCGCCACATTACTAATAATAACCGTGAAACCCGCAGGCTTTAATTTGATATCGTCTCAACACCAGAAATATTATTCAAAAGCTTTGTGATCTCGCGTGGGCATGGTGAAGAATTCTTGTTCTGTAGCCATTGCAGGAAATCTGCAGTTAGTGTGTAACAGTGTGTCTGATAACTGTCATTGTATGTCTTAAACAAACTGATTTTGAGCAATTTCATATCAATATAGAAATACATGAATATTTTAATGAAACAAACAAGAATAAAAGCAGAAACAGAATATAACATTTACCAACATTTAAAACAATTACAATAATAATAATAATTGTAATAATCAATCACAGATTACTTTACCTGCATGACACATATATCAACGACGCCACGTTACACATCCCACTGCATCTGTGGAACATATCTGCAACATTTATATAGAGGATGTAATTACGAAAGCAGTACTAAATAAAATAATGTTTATTATTCGTCAAAAATAAATAATCATGATACACTTTAATGAGGGGTTGCAACTCTAAATCAGAGATAACTAGACAGTACTCTAAGTATCTTTCATCCTTGAATTCAAACTATGAGGTAATTTTACATGGAGAAGCCAGGACTATGCTCGCACATATCAAAGCAATGTGTTCTGTGCGCTAACAAGGACTACACAGTCAACAGAATTTTTCAGAAGGTGAACAAAACTCCATCTTCAGTCGAAATTGATAATTCTGATATTAATATATCATTTACAAAGCCGGTAAAGGGAATACACTTGAGCATCAGCGATTCATATATTCAGGATCTTGAAGTCACGTACTTATGATAATTTTCAACATAAGCTAACTTAATGACCATTCCTCTGATATTCAGGGATTATCTCAGTTTATTTGCATGAGAGCTGGTAGTTAGACTCTTTGGAATGAGCTCTCTTCATGTCTTCATTTCAGTATCGACTCTTATGACAGCCAAAACCTACAATATATAACACATACACCGTCTTAAGTGCAAAAATTTATTGTAGTTCTTTGTCTTCACTCTACTACACTACATGTTTCGGCAGTAACTGGCCATCATCAGATGTACTTCTCTGACGTAGCTGTTACACTGCACATAGTTTAAAATTTAAAAACGCCAGCTTTCTCAGTTGTTCATTTCTGCGTTGCTAATCAGTCCCGATATATCAGAATCCCCTTGCTGATTTTGTCAGATTGAAATTTAAATTGTAATTTAAAAAAAAAACAAACAAAAATTCAAGATCAAATTGACGAGTGTAAATTAAAAAAAGATTTTAAACATATCTGAGATATTTTAAACTTTGAAGCAAGAGAGTGCTACGCATCTATCCTTAAAGATACGATGTAAATTAAAGCTCCATGAAATGCTGCAGATATTCTACCGACTGTAAACACTTGGCTGAGTTAGAAACTGAGATCACTGGAGTAGATTAATAGAAAAGCTTTACATAACTGAATAAAAATGTGGTACTTCCAAGAAAACCCTTTTCTCAGTGAACAGTGTGTTCTCCATTCTTGTACATTTCAACTTGCGACAGTACAGAGTTTATGGAAAAATTATCTTTTTAAGGACCTGGATTTGTCATTGCTCTATGTTTACGAAAGTAATATGTCATACTTGAACTTGCCCATTATGTAAGCTTTAGAAGTTGCATCTGTTTCTGTCTTCAGGCAACAATAATCTGAGGTAACCAAAGTGTTGGTAATTCTATCACTAGAGATCCCCTGCAGACCAACATAGAAGCAATCCCCAAAAGCGGGGTGCGGAAAATATCTAGATTGGTGATTCTCATTTGTCTACAGCTTGTGTCCCACTCGTCTCTCCGCCAAGAAACTACTGTCCCACCTGAACAAGAACACGGCTTCCTTTTTGGCAAGAAATGTTCTTATACGTGGAGGTGCATTGTAGTGTAATATTAAACCACTCAAAAAAGTTCTCGAGAACTTCACGATTGTAAGAATTTAAAAAAATATTTTGTGGTTAAAATTATATAATAACACAACATACAATAATTTCGTGTTTTCTTACTTGAGTATTTTCAAAATATTTTACATGAAAATATTCCATAACAGAGGGAAAGGGAGAGGCTTTAATATAACTGAAATTTGCACTTGAAATATGTCTTATTTTCGAGACCTCGTGCCCATCCACTCAAGCCGACCGTCACGTCCCACCAGTCCGATGTGATGAGAAACACTGATCTAGAGGATGGATAAAGTCCAAGATATTTAAAGCAACTTGCACTCGTTCAGCCTACTAACTCAGAGGTGAACAACGACAGTTCTCTCACATCATGGGAGCAATGGGGCTAAACACTTTGGGTCACCAGCAGGTTATGAAGGCCGAGATGCACTGGAGCTGGTAACTTCACCGCAGAAGGATGAATAGAGATCCCACGATCAGCATTATTCAGCAGGAGTCAACGTGACTATTGGACAGGGGAACTTCGATGTCCACTGGAACACAATCAAAGAATTAAATATTACCAGGGCAAAAACACGAAAATATTCATATGAATTCGCAAATGATTCTTTGGTATTATGTATCAGCAATAATTGGCTGATGAATAACTAGGAATTTATATACGTTTAATTATTATCAGGTCAGTTTATATTAGACATCACTGCATTTTCTAAATGAACATTTCTGTCGTCTATCCAACACGCCGTCAACTCTACGGGTTCTACATCCTTTTGTAACATGAATCTTTGAAATGAAACCTTGAATTTTAATACACTGTTTCAATGTATGTCATTTTATATTTAAAGATCGTATGAAAAAATAGAAACTTGTTTCAAAATTAATTATATTAAAAAAATGACGAAACAAATCATAAAAAGTATGAGTTTAAATTAATTTTAAACATTTGTATTTAAATTGAGTACATTGTTACAATAGGCAAAGATGCTGATTACAACAGTGCACGACTCAACACAAAAATGCAGAAATGGTAATTTATACTAATCGTAACTGAACTGACATTTCGTGAGATTAAATAGCACAGAATTTTGAACGAAATCAGTCATCAATTTTGACTTTTTGATATTGTAGCGTATTGGCTCTATGCAAGAACTGTTGAGCCATAAAGACCTCGGGGCACGCGCGCAACTGGAGAGTTGCGGATTGAATCGGCTTGTTGCTAGGTGACAGCTCTGTGAACGCTTGGATTGAGCAGCAGTGAGTGGGAGTCACGTAACTTCTGCGATCCGGAAGTGACGTTACACCCCCTCGCCGAGCCCGTTGCTATGCAGTGGTAAACACTCCTTCCATTCTATGCTGAAGTCTAGCAACCGTGAAGCAATCTGCGATTTCCGCCTCTCCGATTGAGGGTTTATAAGAGAACTGGAATACCTAAGAAGTCAGTATTCGACAGACCAGATGTCAGTATTTGAGAGTATTTGTGAGTGTTTGAGTGTGTTTAAGTAAGAACAACGGGAAGTTCGTAGAAGACCTGTGAAGATTTAAAGTGTGATTGAAGACCTTAATTATGTGCAATATTTTGAGTGATGTGAAGCGCTAATTTCTGTTTTGAGATACGTACCCGCAGAGGACAAGTGTGTGCGTGTAACAGTGGATTATGAAGTGTGTAAATCAGCGATAGGCTCTAATTTGAGTGTCGTTAAGAGAGTGTGTAACCAAGTGGTTAATAAACCGAATGGCATCTTCAGTAGCCAAAATCTTACAATATTTTAAGCCACGTAAAAGGCGCTTTTACATAAGATTATAAATGAGCTATTCGATGTGTTTCAGAGGTTTTGTTGCAATTCAGTATTTTGCGCTACTGCTGTTGCTATAGTTATTCTGGTATATCTGCTCAAGGCAAGAACTGTGATGCAATCGTAGAGACAGGCGTTACTGAGTACCGGCTTCGAAAAACAAACATGATTCCACGACAAATGTTGGATACAACATTTATTTGAACTGTGTTTCTATGCGGTGAGTGCCGCTTTGTTATAAGCCAGTCAATTCTAGAGACAGTTAATTAGTGGAGTTCAGTGTGTTGGTTCGTCAGTGAGCCAGGTAGTTGGAGGACTGCTGAAGTACAAAACTGGAAGCTGAGGCCGGGGAACGTTCGGGAATCCAAAGAAACGGGAACGCCCGACGTTGAAAGCAGCTACCAAGCAACGGCTAGGGAAGATTGAGAAGACTTAATGTGCTTTGTAGTTAGAGTGTGCGAGTCAGTCAGATTGCTGTAGTTATTTTTGGTTATGTTCTTTAGTGTCCCGTAAGTCAATCGCCAATCTAAAACCCGTCTGTAGTCAATAAATCACTTGACACTATGATTCAACATGGAGTATTTTGCTACATTTCACACTGGCTACATGTAAGCTTAATAAAATATGAAGAACGCCACTGACACTTTTGTATACTACATGTGGACTGAGCCGCTCCTCCTCTTCGAAGACAACCACGCTCTGCTACCAATTGTTGAGCCGGTCCACCTCTTCGAAGACGGCCGGAGCTCACAATCGACTGTTTGTCGCGTGGTGTTCCAATGCCTCCCCAATGTGGAAGGGGATCTCAAGGGAGGAACCGAGAGGGTTAGCTGGCATAGGCGTTAGGCAGTACAAGTAATCAGGCAGAGTACACAGAAAGCATAACAATCCAGCTGGTTTTTCAATAACATAAAATATATTGCAACATAAGTGTAGAAATGTAAATCGTACAAATATGATAAGGAAAATATTACAGCTTCGCCTGAAGGGCTGGTAGAAATATCAAATAAACATCAGTCAAGAATGAATCAGAATTGGCACGCAGTTAAAGTAACGGTTGCGACCTCTTAGGTTCACTGACCTGGGCTGATCAATGGCCTTGAAAGTACATGGTTTAAACTGTCGCAATAACCTGATTGCAAAAGATGAAACTCGATCATAATGTTCTGACTACACCGATGTTCAAAATAATACTTAAAACAGAGCTGAAAGAAACAAAACAGTCAATCCTAGCAAAGTGCCCCTGCCGCATTGCGGCAATCATTGACCAATCGTAAGTCACGTAACTCCTGGCACTTTCACTAATACAGGGCAGTTCCAAAACACATCGCCCAACTTACTCAGTAAGTACTTACTTGATAAAATATATTACAAGCCAGGAAAAATAATAAATAAATAAATAAATAAACTCCCGAGCCAGCCAGCCCACGCCGGCTCGACAGGGCTTTCTCTCTCTTCCTGTAGTAGTTAATGTGCCGAAACAGAATTTCTACGCAACATGCGTAATCCAAACCAAACTGAATTTCGGACGCCCAAAACCGACCTTCTCGGTCGAAGACGAAGAGGAAAAAGCCACAGACCAACTTGTCTGTAAACGTAGCTTGTGTCGGGACAAGAGGGAAGGGGAAACACGTGACCTCTGGTAGCAAAGAACTTTATGGGAAAAGGATCGGCTCCGCGTCGTAGCGTACGTAGTTGCCAGAGAGAGACGGTAAATCCAAGGATCCTACACAGAAAGAACCGTGACACGGTTCAGGACTACAATTATTGCAGTCTTGTTTATCCGCTTCAGCACCAAGAGATCCGCATTTCCCGAGAGCACGGCTGTGCGAGCAACCGAAAACAGTTTTCTTCTCATAGCTTTCGGATTATTCTTTCTGGCTACTTTCTGTGACAAATTCCGTAAGGTAAACAATAGTGATAAGGAATTACTGTACATTGTTTTGCATCCATACTTCACGACGTTACAGGAGACGTGGATTTACTTGTAGAGGCATTCCTTCCCCACGTTAGAGGGGAATGTTGCGGATCTCAGAAACGTACAGGAGTTAGTAGCAGATATTGCTATAGTTTACTGCTAATGCTGGTAAAAAGACCTCTCGAAGTTGCCTCGAAGTGAGCATGTCACACCACTGACTGTCCTCTTTACTTAACACATCATCTGGTGTGTTGGGCATGTCACACCACTGACTGCTTCCGTTACTGAACCCATCATCTGGTGTGTTCGGCATGTCACACCACTGACTCTCCCCGTTACTGAACCCATCATCTGGTGTGTTGAGCATGTAACACCACTGTCCCCGTTACTGAACCCATCATATGGTGTGTTGGGCATGTAACACCACTGACTATCCTCGTTACTGAACTCATCATCTTTTGTGTTGGGCATGTCCTGTCACTGACTGTCCCCGTTACTGAACCCATCATCTGGTGTATTGGGCTTGCCATATTTAGACCGAAGAGGAATGAAGTGGCAGGATGTTTTAGAACAGAGCCTAATGAGGAGCTTCACCGATTATAATTAGAATGATCAAGTTAAATTGGATGTGATAGGCAGGTCATTTTGCAAGAATGGGAAGATAAATACTTACAGGATTTTGGTTGTAAAGCCATAAGAAAAAGACAGCACTAGGCAGACCGAAACTTAGGTGGGTAGACAATATTAAAATGGATCTTAGAGAGCTGATATTGGATGGTGCGGACTGGATTTATGTGGTTCAGGAGAGGGAGGGCTCTTGTGAACACGATAATGAACATTTGGGTTCCATAAATCTTTGGGAAATGCTTCATTATTTGCACAACAGGTGGCTTGTCAAGGAGGGCTCAGATCCATGAGCGAGTGAGTTAGTTATTTAGGCATGTCACGTTCTGCACTGTACCTCTCACGGAACCCATTCTTTCGTGTATGAGGCATGTCATATACATCACTGTGCCTGTTACTGAGCACGCGCCATGGTGCATTGGGCATGCCATATCCTGCACTGTACCTGTCACTGAACTCGTCCGCTGGTGTTCTAGGCACCGCGCCTGCTACTCAACTCACCTTCTGACATGATTAGCATCTCACTTTCTGCATCCTACTTGTTAGTTAGCTCTTCATGCAGTATGTTAGGAATGCCACAACCTGAGCCTCACCTGTTACTGAACTCGTCTTTCTGTCGGCATACTCGCTCTGCTCAGGCTCTAGGAATGCTGGGATTGTGGAGAGACAGGTGAGTTCCAAGCGGCCTTCTGCTCCAATGTTAAGTTGCACAATGTCCAAGATGAGCTGTGCCGTCAGACGCTCTCGATCCCGATGTGGGAAACGCCTCAGTTGGCTCTCCTCCACCTGCAGAAGAAGCAAGTTATCACTGCGCCTGCGTACAACTCACAACAGTTCCGGGGGCTCTACCGCAGACAACACGGCTCTCACGTACTCTGCGAGACTTCAGGGTCTCACAGCGGTCACTCTGCACGTTATAGTTTCCTCCGACATCATGCCGTGTGTTTCTGAGGATGTTCTGAGAAGTTTCGGACGAACTAGTTGTCTCCATCTTCTGGGCAGAAAGTAATGCAAAAGTGGAAAACATGGAATTGGTGTAGTGAGATACAGGCAGCGGTCCGGAGCCTGATGGCAGCAACAGGAGTGCAGAAGTATGAGGCCACTGTAAGGATGGGACAGCGGGGATAAATTTGGTTCTTGGTGACCAGTGCGTGGTACAGGGAAGTAATGGGACATATGCCAAGGAAACTGTGGCCCCAACAACACAAACAACATAAACAACATTGTGGCATAGAATCCTTCTTGTGAAGGTAACAGTCGCTCACAGGGTCAAGGTATTCCACGCTTTTATTAAGATGAGGTTTCGTAATTGTGTTCAGAAACGCCCGCTTACATGTGAGACTGACTCATATGTTTCGCATTTGCGAAGGGTGAAATCAATTGAGATATTTATCAAATCAGGTCGTACTTCATAGAAAAACACTGCATCTGGATCACAGAGACCAATGCGTTAACTCTCGAAAGGAATGATTTGAATTTTTCTGAAAATAATAAGAAAAAACACAATGGCACGGTACCAGAAGAATGAAGAATTTCTCGGCTTCATAAGTGGTTAATATGGTATTAAGTATTGAACAATAATTATAATATTCAAATTTATTTTGACACAATGAAGCACAATTTGCTTGAATGGACTGAAACTTTCAATAAGGAAACTGAGTAATGATGTCCGATGTTCGGTCCCCGGAGTGCTTGTACAGAGACTTGCCTCTAGAGGAGCCTGCTAAGTCTCACCGTTGCAGAAACCACCAGTAAGTATGTAACCATCTGAAGATGTTTAGAGAGGCTGCGACTGTGTGTGTAGAGTGTGCTTAATGCGAAGCGGGGAGATATTTAGTTTATTACTCGTCAGTTGAATTAAACTATGGGCACCACATTTGCTCCAAATTGAAATCCCATTCGTATATGTTACCCATTTCGTATCGTTCTATATATCTATAAAACTCGCATCCCAAATGTCCCCCCTTATCCTGTGCTCGGCTCAGAGTTTAATAGGGCCCACGAAACCATCAGCTCATAAGCAAGTAAGACGAGCGGCAAGTTCTCTTTGTTTTCATGCGATCAAGTAAATATTCTGAAGGAGAGACCAATCCAACACGGGATAGGCACAGTATATACACCAGAGGCGAAACTATATAAACTTTAATGGAAAAGTTCATATTATATCTCCTTAAATAACAGTAAATAAGCCTACAGTAATTGGAAATTGCTGAGCCATTACAACACGGGGTAAAATCGCCTCCAGCCCAGTACCGACACAGAATGGACTGGAAAGCACGCACATGCATGGGGACGTTATGTACAGTCTGTCTGCTTTAGCGAGACCTCTGTCATGCGCATTGCAGGGCAAGGGACTCTGAAGTTTTTCAAAATATATGCATCTTTTCCACATATATCTTGTACTAGTTTCAATAAGAATGTTGTGTCCCTCATAGCCAGAGTTTCAGGAGGCTTCCCAGCTCCCTAATCCACATAAAAACCATAATTTAATCACGTAATGGCTTATCTTATTACACTGACTGTCGTGTGAAATTTAGTCAAGAGGACCCTCACATTTACGGAACCCATTCATTACATTAAATGTAAGGGCATACCATTGGTACCTATTATGGGTCACATGTATTTGGTCCACAGCGTTAATCCTATTCGACTGAGGTCGTTTGTAAGCATATTCTGCCATCAAGGCTTTTGTATTGCTGGCTGGCTCGTCAGGTATTCAACCTGAGCTTCTGTCTGAATTTCCCATTTTTCGTGTGTGTCACATCCGGCCAAATCATCCTCCTCTACTTAATCACTCTGTGACACACGGCGAACATGAAGAATTTGGTCACTCCTGGATATGGACATTTCTTTCCGGCCTACTCTTCTGCCGTGTCGCTTACAGATATTCTCCTCAGCATCCTGTTTCCGGCCTGCACTTCTGCCGTGTCGCTTACAGATATTCTCCTCAGCATCCTGTTTCCGGCCTACACTTCTGCCGTGTCGCTTACAGATATTCTCCTCAGCATACTGTTTCCGCCCTACACTTCTGCGGTGTTGCTTACAGATATTCTACTCGGCATCCTGTTTCAGGCCTACGCTTCTGCCGTGTCGCTTACAGATATTCTCTTCAGCATCCTGTTCTCAGCAAACCTAATTTCGTTTTGTTCTCTTTAAATGACAAAATCGTGTTTCGAACTCATACGAATCATCAGATAAAGTGAAATCCTCGCGTGCAAGAAGAACCTCCATTGTAATTAATTGTTCTGAAGAGTTGTACTAGTGTTAGGATGGAAGATGGCGCCATCCACACACTTAGGGTAATCTAGGACAGCACGGAAAGAACCCTGCAAGTATTGTCACATCGCATGAAATTAGACTGGCAGCCTAATAACACGGATGCAATAGAGGGAGACGAGTGGTGTGATTCAGGCCCTGACTACACCTTGTCTTCGCGCGAGGGAAGCAAGAATAAAATACGATAGCCCGTTGTTAATTTAAATACAAGATGAGGCAGAAATACATGACGGTTTGTGAAACTGTAAAGCTAATTAATGTATAGGAGCATTTTTCTAAGAGTTATGTAAACAAAATCGAACCTAACAACGACCACCGCGTCGTCTGCCCACTTGCAACGTAGGGTGGTTCTCAAGGTATTTCACTTGCAAACACTGCTCTCGTATAGCGGGCAGCAGTGTGGCGTGGCGAGTTAGAGACAAACGGAATGTCCTCATTGTGTCCACACGCCTGAAAGACTGAATCTGGAAAGGAAATCTTCACTTTGCTAGTGGGCATGTCTTGTTCAGTGGAATAAGATTGGGGAGCTTTGTCCGAACCTTGCATCGTGACCTGCTTTTCCGCCCATTCGAAATTTAAATGGATTTAAACATATGTTGTACAGATCTGTAAATTTTTCTTGGACTTGGTGCGAAACAAGCAGTCTCAGGGAACGCACATGTGATGTCAGCTGAGGCGCACTTCCTTATCTCAGGTTAAGAGTACAAACAACATGTGCGCACTGGGCTTCACAATGCCCTAATGAGTTTCATGAAAGCCCTCTCCGTAGTGTAAATGTGGCTACATTTGGCAACACTGCCCCTCCTCTAGGGATGACGAGCTGTGATTGCGAACTCTGATCGATACAAAGTTATTTTGGAAATTTTCCTGGCTAAAAGCTGCATTTTCGTGACCTACTGACATCTCTGCATGGAAACTCACTACCCGTTATGGGACATCAACTGGCCTCCTTGCTCACCTGACCTCTCGGCATCGGACTCCTTCCGTGGGGAGGCTACCTGCGGCCAAGGTACATGAGATACGCCCTGCCCTACAACAGCGCAGTTGGGAGCTCGCCGAAGCCATCCCTACGGACGTATATTAGCGTAAAGATGGCGATGGAGGTCGCCTGCAAATTGTCACTTTTTGATGATGATTACGGTCAATTTTGCAACGAATACTGCAGTTATCTACAATAAATCTGTAATTTTCGCCTTCCTGTTCATAAGTTATTTTATTTCGAAAACGATGAAGTATTGCTTCACCACTCTGTACTTTGTATTCGACTGCTAGAGATTACGTTTCTATAACTTTCTCCCACGCTGACGCCCTTCATGCATTACACCAGCTGTAAAGGGTTTAATAGCTACTTTCACAGTTCGGGATAACTGCCATTCTATGAATCCGAGCTTGTGACGAGTCCACATTCACTCATAGGAACTCTATAACAAACGGTATATAATACAAATTGGAATCACTTAATCCCCTAATATGCAATGCGCAATTATTTTCTATTCAATTTTTAATAATTCCTCTGAGACCCTTAAAGCTCTGTTTATTACTCGTACTAATTGTCAGAGCTCTGAACATGCAATGGACTTACTGCTTCCGTATGGGTCTCACAGTAAACAATGATTATTTCCCTAAACAACAATAACCTCAGTGTGTTAATGCTTACATATGACGTGAAATTTTAAAATCTATTTTGAAGGGATTAGTGATTCAGAGAGTTAGTTAACAACTTAAAGTCCAGCGGTTATTCCAGTACGACCTACTTTAAGACACTATATCTCTGCATTCTGCCGAGGTCAAGGAAATGTGGGTCTATATATACACTCCCCCATACGCCTTCATGGCGAGGTGCTTAATTACTTAAGCACGGAGACAACTTTACAAAAGAATGGGACACAAGCTGGACGCCGCAAATGAAAATAACGCGGAGCGAGCAGACAGTGTTCGTCCCCAAACAAACACATTTCAGTACGAACGAAGACATGGAATAACATGGGATGCAGTGACATAAGAACTGGTGCTGTTCGGCACTTCCAATTCGTGAACAATTGTTTGAAGATGGGCTTTGAAGGCCGAAACACATTGCAGTTCGACTTTATTGGCATCTTAAAGTAAAGCAGAATTTAAGAACGATTTAGACTGCGTTAGAGACGGAATTTGGTGAATGAGAGACAACTCAGTCCGGCCTGTTGCGATGCGGGCACAACACCTTCTGCTACCGTGTGAGCCAGGCTGCTCTGTCAAGGTTCGGCCACACAGAGCGCTACGTACGCTACGCACGCTACGTACGCTATGTTCGTTGTAAGAACAGAAAAATATCTCCCGTTATTGCCAATGTGACTGGGCACACAGACTTCCGTACGCTATGTACGCTATGTTCCCTATGTTAGCTGCGTCGCAGAGAGTACGCAGCGTACGTAGCATACGTAGCATACGTAGCGGGCATATCGTAGCGCTCTGTGTGGCCGAACCTTCACTCAGTGGTCTGACTGCTGCATCAGCCGCTCCGGTGCGGTCCC